TAAGTAATTTAACTTGTTAATTAATAACAAAATAGATTAAATATGATTTTAGAGGTGCTATTCGCTTGCTTTTTAGTCGACTTTGCTTTGCTATAAAAACAACTCGTCTGCTTAAAATTTTATTTAACTGCAACTATATTTTTGAAAGTTTAATTTATCGTCTGTTACTTGACAATTTTGTTTTCATGCAGAATGACGCTTTTAAAGAAGCAATGGATAGAGGGCTATGTTTGTGCTCTTTCCGAAGAAAATTATTTGTATCTAGTTATTAAAAAAACGGTGTAAAGCCATGGTTTTTTAATATTTAAAGGTATGATAGGTAATATTGTCAAAAAGAGCTTTCATGAACTCCTTGTAAAGACTGCATCTCTTATCTTCCTTTCATTGTTGTTTAAATTTTTAACGCTTTACATTTGTTCCCATGTTCTGTAGAGACATTAAGATTTTTTGGAAGTGAGAAATAAGCAACGCCTTCGCCAGGAATCGAACCACGAACCTCTGGAATACGCGACAAGCATGCAGACCACTACACCACGAAGACACGCTAAGAAGGCGGGATAAATATCTTATATACTCTCCTCTTTTAAAGGGGCGACTGGGGTTTTAGGGGACCCAATCGCCAAATCCTGAGTTGGAGAATCATCATCCACCACCCTTTTAGTTCGGGTGCTACTGTCGAGACATTAGATTGTTTCGGAAGCGGGAGAAGTGAAAAATGAGCAACGTCTTCGCCGGGAATCGAACTACAGACCTCTGGAATACGCATCCAGCATGCAGACCACCACACCACGAAGGCACGCTAAGAAGGCAGGAGAAATACCTTATATATTTCCCCCATTTTGAAGAGCGACTGAAGTTTTAGGGGACCCAATCACCAAATCCTGAGTTGGAGAATCATCATCCACCACCCTTTTACTTCGGGTGCTACTGTCGAGACATTAGATTGTTTCGGAAGCGGGAGAAGTGAAAAATGAGCAACGTCTTCGCCAGGAATCGAACTACAGACCTCTGGAATACGCATCCAGCATGCAGACCACCACACCACGAAGGCACGCTAAGAAGGCAGGAGAAATACCTTATATATTTCCCCCATTTTGAAGAGCGACTGAAGTTTTAGGGGACCCAATCGCCAAATCCTGAGTTGGAGAATCATCATCCACCACCCTTTTTACTTCGGGTGCTACTGTAGAGACATTAGATTGTTTCGGAAGCGGGAGAAGTGAAAAATGAGCAACATTTTCGCCGGGAATCGAACTACAGACCTCTGGAATACGCGTCCAGCATGCAGACCACTATACCACGAAGGGACGCTAAGAAGGCGGGAGAAATACCTTATATACTGCTCCTCTTTTAAAGGGCGACTTGGGTTTTAGGGGACCCAATCGCCAAATCCTGAGTGTGGAGAATCATCCACCACCCTTTTAGTTCGGGTGCTACTGTAGAGACATTAGATTGTTTCGGAAGCGGGAGAAGTGAAAAATGAGCAACGGCCGGGAATCGAACCACGGATTTCTGGGATACCCGCTGACCAGCTTGCTGACAACTACACTACGATGGCATGTAAGTAGACGAGAGAAACACTTTATAGTTCATTGATTCTGATTCGTACTTTATAAAGGTTGGTTCTTTTTATTGTTTATCATTGTACATGTATGATACTTGAGCTGTTTTATATGTTTAGATTAATGCTTCCAATAAAGACATATGTAACAACAGAATGAAGAGAAATGTGAAGATCAAATCCACATTTTATCAAGAACATATTTCGTACCCATTTTTCAAATATAAAATACCTTTTCTTTACCGCAGTGTCATTAATGAGTAGAATTGCATCAAGACAAAGCAAGGACCACATGACAAAATCCACTAACATAAAAAAAAATGGAACTAAAAAGAGGTATCGACGCCACACCCTTCACTCATATCAATACCAAATATCCTGCTGTAGCGACCATGGATTTCGCGCTTTAACTTTTAAACAGCGGATTGTTCGAAAGGTGAGCTATAACCCTCCTTGGACTTTCGTAAACTGTCCATGAGGGCTGGGATAAAATATATCTTCTGATTCTACAATAGTTTTAAAAATTGCGATGTAGTAAGATAACGAAGAAAAAAAGATTATAAAATAGAACATTTAAAAATTTTCCTGTAAATGCAATGCAAAAATCATGTAAAATGTGTGGGAACAGCCTCTGTAATATTTTACGTTTTTCTGAATGGCGACAGACTTCAATGAAAAATGAAACAACCGCATTTATAGTAGGATAAGAATCGTATTTTGTGCCTAGTATTTCTTTTGGGCTTAAAATGACATCACTCAGGATAAAAGCCTGAAAATATCTTATCAAAGATTCGCTTTCATTAACATTTTCCAGCGGCAAAAAAGAATCAAAAACGACCAGTAAGTGGATGTAAAAAATGTTCTGCCATAATGAAAATATTGTTGTAAATTTCTGTAAATATTTAAATTCTTTTGTCTGTATTGCTGCTTTTGTGTATCGTATATTGTTTTACTTAGCTATATATTTATTTGTTGATTTTAGGAGATAAATAATATTTGTACTTATCTTGACTGTAATTGAATTTACACATTATGCATATATGCGTTAATTTCTCGTGCAGAACTGTAGGGCCTTCAAGTCTGCATCCAACAATTTCTTAATTGCGAAAATAGCTCAAGTAGAATGCGATATACGAGGGTTGGAACTTTAATAGTGGCAACACAGCTGAAAAAACGCTACGCTACAAAACCAAAGAATATCGCGTATACCACACGTAAACTACATACCTACCTTACCTCTCAGCAAAAAGACTCGTCCTGCCTACGTCACGCGCATGCGGAGTGACGCGAAGAACGAATCCTTGTATTAGCCCGCGGTCTAAAGTAAGTGTTGTCAGGATGTTTTCAAAACAAAAACAACGATGTTGGATAAAAATTGAATGTGCCAGAGGTCATACAGCACGACAGTGGGGGCTTGCGGGGAATCTTCATTGCCTTCCAGAACCGTAGCAAGATGGGTGAAAGCATTCAATGAAGGACGCCAAAACGTGGCAGACATGCTGCGGCCAGGTCGTCCGAGTGTCAGTGATGCAGACGTGCAAGCTGTTGCCGCACTAATGGACAGTGATCGCCGCCAAACGATTCGTCAGCTGGCTGGACAAAACAGGATTAGCGCATACGACTGTGTTGCACATTCTGAAGAACGCCTGTCCATGAGAAAAATTGCTTCACGATGGGTTCCACATCAATTGACGGACATGCAGAAATGGCTACGATACGATGGTGCCCGAACCCACCTGGAGCGCTATGAGCGCGAAGAAGATGCTTTTTTACGCCGTATCATTATGCTGGATGAGACTTGGGCCCGATCGTACCAGCCAGAACTGAAGGGTCACCACAACGTTCGAAATTTCGTCAGAACCCCAGCAATGTGAAAGTTATGGTGATTCTCGTGTACGACTGCGATGGTGTCATCCTAACGCATACCGTTCCCCCACAGCAGACCGTCACTGCGCAGTATTACTGCTCATTTTTGGAGCCCAATCTCCGACCAGCTTTGAGAAAAAAACAGCGACACTTTCTGCAGAACGCTCCTCTCATTTTGCATGACAATGCTCGGCCGCATGCAGCGCAAGTTGTGACTGATTTGTTTAAGCGATGGGGCTTGGCAGTGCTTTACCATCCACCATACTCCCCAGATCTAAGCCCTTGTGACTATGACTTAATTCCTAAGATGAAGGAACCACTTCGTGGCACTCGCTTCCAAACTGTTCCTGAGATTCTTGCGGCAGTAGACCGGTCCATTCAAAACTATCAATAAAACAGGCGCTGCTACAGGTATTCTGCGACTTCCACATCGTTGGAAACCGGTTGTACACAATGCTGGCGACTATATTGAAGGACTGTAAAACATGGTGACATGAATCACTTTTGTATTCCTTGTAAATAAATAGTTGCCACTATTAAAGTTCCAACCCTCGTATGAGCAAATAAGTTCTGGCCGGTCCTTGGCAATATTTTCTGTCGCCAACTTGGCGACGTTTTAACATTTTTTATCAAATTTTAAATTTTCCAATGTCCATTAGGAGAATATTTGCTTTATCTTACGATCTACTTGAGCTACTTTTAAAATTTAGACATTGTTACACTCAAAATTAAAAGATCAGCACTTCTATATAAAAAATAAACACCTCTATGAAATATCAGATCTGGATATCACATGTGTTCCTTGTACGGCCTATAAAATTTTACATATTTTTTGGCACATTTTATTTAAACTTATTTCCTCGAATTTAGTTAGAGGTATATTTCTCATCCAACCAACTCAGTCGTGACTTCGCGATAAAGCAAAAACACGTAGAAAGTCAAAACATTTTTACCAAAAATTGTAAAACATGGAAAATCCTAATACACGAAATACAGTTAAAAACAGTTGAAAAATTTAATTAAATTAAAATTAGAGCTTTTACCCAAAACGAGCAATTCGATAGCAAGAAAGACAGCATAATTTTACTAAAATTATGTTGTTGTGAATTTTGTATACGTGTAGTTAACATGTATACAAAATTCATAACAACATAATTCTACAATTCATATCGCGAATAACAAAAGCGCTGGCACGTAAATAAATTCTATTTACAGAATTCTTCTGCAATTTTATATCGCGAAAGCGTGAGCACCTAAATAAATTCTATTTACGGAATTCTTCCACATTTTTTTTCTGCGAGCGACAAAAGTGTGGGCACCTAAATAAATAGTAAAGAAATCTATTCATTTAATTGCATCATAAAATGTAAAAGCCATTATTGTTTTTAATTTATAATGGGCGTTACAGGTTTTATTCGCGACATAAATTTGTCCATGAATTTTGAAACAGACTTATTAAATCTCTTGTTTCCTTTAAATAATTTTTACTTTTTTGTTCATTAATTGTTTTATTAATCTTAAATAAAAGCTTATTTTACAAAAACTGCATAATAAGCAATTAAAATTTCCTTACCCTTTCTTGTACCTTTTTCGGCATGGCAAATTTCAGCATGCTGAAGAATAGGCTAAAAGCTTTAGGTTCATTCACTAGATGTATAGCTTTTAGACGGTACGGCCAACAGTTCTGAAAAAATATTAATATAGCTCTGAAAAAGGAGGTACAATAGACAATTACGATAGTCGAATTTTTATTGCAATATCTTTGAAATGATCATTTTTTCAGGCGGCAAAGTAAATAACTTAAAATTAAGTTAAAAAAAATTTGCAAAGGTCATAAAAGTCCTTTAAATACAGCAAAGGAAAAATTCTAGAAAAAGTACGTCTTGAAAATAATACTCATTTGTAAGTGAGGAATTTCATTTCCGATTTTTCATTCTGATTTGAGCTTTATAGCTTCGACCTTTAACACACTTTAAACTACAAGGTTATTTTAACTAACACATTAATTTTTGTGTTAAAACATTTCTGAAATTTTACTGTTTCGTCTTTTCATTCAGAGTGAATGAAGTGAGTTTAAAAAAAGAGAGAGAATGTAAATTCAGGGAAGAAAATGGGCAATCTCATCCTATCATACACATATTCGTCTTTTGTTTTCTATAATTAAAGTTGCGCTGACTCGTAAATAATTTGACATTAGAGCTATGCTGATTTGTGAATAATTCGACACTACAGCTGTGAAGGCTTGTAAATAATTTCACTTTAGAGCTGTACTGTGTAGTAAATAGTTACATATTAGAGTTGTGCAGAGTAGTAAATAATTTGATATTAGATCTGTGCTGAGTAGTGAATAATTTGATATTAGATCTGTGCAGAGTAGTAAATAATTTGATATTAGATCTGTGCTGAGTAGTAAATAATTTGATATTAGAACTGTGCTGAGTAGTAAATAATTTGATATTAGATCTGTGCTGAGTAGTAAATAATTTGATATTAGAACTGTGCTGAGTAGTAAATAATTTGATATTAGATCTGTGCTGAGTAGTAAATAATTTGATATTAGATCTGTGCTGAGTAGTAAATAATTTGATATTAGAACTGTACTGACATATAAATAATTTGACATTACAGTTGTTCTTGCTCATAAATAATTTAGACACTAAAGCGATTCTTGCACATGTCGGTCGTTGCAACAAAAAATAAAAACTTTGAAAATATAAGATCGTTGCCAAACAATAAAAACAAAAGTTTGATGACGTCATTCAAAACATGACTGCGTCACGTCACTTCCGCCGGCTGAAGACGGGAAATTACTATTATCGTTTCTCAGTTCATCATATCAATGTTCAGCTTTCTTACTCAGATGACTTTACAAAACCTTTTAACCATCTGCGGCTCAGTGTGTCCAGTCTGGACACACCTAAAACTTTCCTTCTGTATGCACAGAAAAATTGAAGGAAAAAGGATTTATAAGTTACTATAGGTTACTCTGAACCTTCTTTATTTATAGTAGATGGCAGTTCAACACAAACCAGTCCATATATTTTAGCCATGTTTAGTTTTTTAAGACCCTCATTTTTCAAAGAAATCTTCCAGATTTTTTTTTTTTTTAGGGTATAAAAGGAATTGTTTGAAAAGAAATTTCTACGTTATGTTTTTGGCTGTATGCTAATCTCCTTATTCTATATTAGTTTTAAATTTTTACCTTGAAATCTTGCCTAAAATCAAACGACGAACCCTAGGTGTGCCCAGACCGGGCTCAGCGATAATCTAGGACAACTGTGAATCTGTATTCTTTGTTTCTCCGTATCTCATCGGTCAGTTCATTGACAACAATGCTCGTTTCAGCACTCTTTTCCAAGCTCTGTTCAATCAGTGTGCCACTTTGGGCACACCCACAGAATATAAACGATATGTGCTATCTTCACAAAATTTTACTTGTGTACTCTTCTCGGCCTAATTAGATTGCCTACCTTTTTTTTTTTTTTTTTTTTTTTAATCAAAACTCCGACTTTAAAAGGTAGCGTGCCGGAAAGGATTATTTGTCTTAGGACCTTACTTTTGCAACATTTGAAGCATTCCGTTTTTCCTTGAAGATATGTTTAGAAAAAGGTTTCCAGTTGAAGCTAAATTTGGACGTTTTCCCCTCTTTTTTGTTTACACCGTTACCTATCGTATCCCCCTCCAGAATGCAGCGAAGATGAAACCAGGTGGCTAATGACTTAATTGGTTACGCTTTCTCCACAGCAGAATTATATCAGGATCACACAAAGGGAAGCTTACATGCAAAGACGGTAAATAGGAATACAATCCTGGTTCCTTTTCAGCTGGTATTGCAATGGAACTACTGCTCATTTGAAATCGAAAAAACAAAATTGTCAAACGTACGGTAACTTATAATCTGAAATTATATAATTTCAGTTAAAAGAAAAATTCAAAGCAGAAGAATTTTTCTTTAACAGCAAATCAAAATCGCCTAAAATGTGTGCAAACAAGCGTCTTCATCCTTGCTTTCACAAACTGTACTGCCATCGTAACACATTTAAAATTTAAAAGGTGACGAGGATTTATTCATCCTGCATGTAGAATGAAATACACAGACATTGTATACTTGATCTGTCTGAGCACTTACCTCCACAGAACTGAAGACTAATCCTAACATCGTGGGCGAAGCACATGTCAGAAACTGATGCCATGTAACATTCCGAAAGTCTATTATGATCCTACCTCCAGATATTTGAGTTGCCTCCCTTCTGTAAGTGATTAGACCAATATGCAGTATTGTAGCCACAATATCTTCGATAGAGGCTTGCTCCCATTTGTGATTACCTGCAGATACGAAAAGATAACGAGTGCTCATTGCTACGGAATAAAATTTGAAACTATGAACCAGAATTTCATGTTTTTATTTTATTTCAAAAACACCTTAACAATTCAGTTACAAGAACTTGGCCCAAAAATTCACCCTTTGATAAAAGTATACTGACCACTTCACCGTTTCCCTGGAGATAGAATTGTCGATTTAAATATAATCGTCAGGCGTCAGCAACGTCCCACACTCCTCGGGATTCAATGGTGCCTGGATCGTTACCCCGAGAGTCACTCATCGATTCGTATTTTTCACCCCCCCCCCGCAGAATGCAGCGAAGATGAAATCATGTGGCTAATGACTTAATTGGTTACGCTTTCTCCACAGCAGAGTTATATCAGTACCACACATAGGGAAGCTCACATACAAAGACGGTAAATAGCAATGCAATCCTAGTTCCTTTTCAGCTGCTAATGCAATGGAACTACTGCTCATTTGAAAGCGTGACTTTGGAGTATTGTCATTGTTAACAGTGGGGGTCACCCGTGGCCAGCACTCGACTTGGCTACAGATCCGTAGGGTCCACCGGTGACCACCGACGCGAACAATAGTAAAAATATATAATTAAAGTAAATATCGATACTGATAAATCTATAAAAAGTACCACTGTTACTATAAGGGTATGGAGTATAATTAATTTCAAAAAATTTAAATATAAATAAAAAAAATGGTCTACAGCGCCTCGGAGGTCACCGGTGATCCCCCAACGCGAAAAATGCATTAAACACGATTATATAACTCTCCTTATCTTCTGTAGATAATATTTCAACATAATATATTGAAATTTAAACAAATTTAAATTCTAAACAAATACGTATAAAAGTAAAAAAGTAGAAAAGCAAAGTTAAATTCTAAAAAAAAGGAAAAAAGCCAAAATAATTTTAAAATGTGCAAACATGTAAAAGATTTAATTCTCGAACTAATCTACAGTATCATTTAAATTCAGAAGCATAAGCAAATCAAGTGTAAAATCTATCCATGAAAATAAATCTACTAATTTAATAAATTAAAATTAAATTAAACAATTTTTTTAAAAAATTGCATATGTGAATGATCGTAGAGTAGGCAGCAGACAGACTTATCAAGGGGAAGTTGCCTCCAAACCTAACTCTCCAATCATTCAATTCGTGTTTCGTCATTCATGCAGGAAAGGGTAAAAGTCAAAACCAAAAGTAATTCCAATAAAGTGGTACCCTTAGAAATTAACATTTAAGTATTAACATTTAAGAATTAAAGTTCAAAAAAGAAAATACTAATTAAGTCTTTTGAGAAACAAGCAAGTAAAGTCAAGAATTAAACTTTTTCTTAAAAAATTAAATTTTTTAAAAATTAATTTTTTATAAAATAATAAAAAAATTTAGAAACCAATGTATTTTAGAAATCCTTGTCTACAGAAACTTCCCCTACACGAATATGCATATCAATAAAAAGAAACTATAAAAGAACTATACATAATCCATATAAACCAATAAGAAACAAAAAGTAACAAAAAGAACTAATTCACAATTTTTAAAATAAATATGCAAAAGTGCCGCAAAAGTGTTGTGAAAGAGAAGTAAGTGTGTTCTTCAAATTATATAGATGGCGCTTATGTAGGTAAAGTTGAGTGTCAAGCTGTTATCTTTGTTATAGTAAAAATTTTTTGTAAATATTAATATTAATTAAATTAAATTAAATTAAAAATCCTAAAGGTAGTAATATTAATTATTTAGGGAGTTAAGTAACTGAGCCAATCAAGAGATGTATGTTTGCTTGAAGGAAATTAAAGTGTGTGGTATGTGAAAAAAATTAAAGTGAAGTGGTATGTGAAAAAAATGTAAACTGTATGTAATTTGAAATGTGTGTTCTGTTGAAAAATTGTGAAAATTGATAAAAAAAATTAAGTGAAAGATATTTTGTGTGAAAATTGAGATTTTACACTTGATTTGCTTTTGCTTCTGAATTTAAATGATATTGTAGATTAGTTCGAGAATTAAATCTTTTACATGTTTGCATATTTTTAAATTATTTTAAATTATTTTGGCTTTTTTCCTTTTTTTAGAATTTAAATTTGCTTTTCTACTTTTTTACTTTTATAAGTATTTGTTTAGAATTTAAATTTGTTTAAATTTAAATTTCATTCCTTGCAGCAACGGCGCAAAGAATATTTAATTAAATATGTATTTAAATTTAATTTTTTTAATTAAACTCAATTTATTCTTTTGAAACGATATTATATTGAAATATTTCAACATAATAACGATTATATAACTATTCTTATCTTCTGTAGATAACATTTCAATATAATATACATCGCATAATGAAAACTTTATGTTGTGAGGCCATGGGTAAACCATGTAAAATGCGCCCTGCAGTCAACGTGTAAATCCTGAGCTAAGAGACTAAAAAACACACACAAAATACAAATTCTCCCGACCAGGAAGACAAGTGGGCGATTTTCTAAATAGGTCTCGATAGTTATGACAAAAATAAAGAAACATTTCTAAGGCCAGGCTTCAGGTACAAAAAGTTTATCCTCCAAGGAAACAGAAAAGCAAATGTTTGGATTTTGTAGGACACTGAAATGTTTCAATCCATTTTCTTTATAGTGGCCAATCACTTGATATAACACAATTTCTTTCAAAGAGAGAAGAATCGTCTTATTTTGCAAGATTTCTGAGAAAATCCGTTTAGATCACTTGAGCAGATTTCACCACCATTCTATTACGCAGTCACCTTGTAAATATTACATAATATTTTGCAATGGGCCAACCAGTGGATTAACCAAAGTCAACAGGAATAATAGATTTCTCTTCAGACAAGAATCATGAAAAGCATGTAAATGATATGCGTACATATGCAGTTGCTTATACACAGTACTTATTATATACAGTACTTATTATTATTAATTATGTACATGCTAATTATGTATCTCTTTTTATACCAATAAGTTAAATCTATTTGTTGAAAAAAATTTTTTGAGTTTTGAAATATGATTAATTTCTGGATTAATTAATCGAATAATGATTAATTAATGATTACACCAGTCAAATTACCATTCTGGAAATTTTCCACTCTTCCAAAAAATTTTAACAAATCACTTTCTAAATGATCAAAACTGGAATTATTTTACGTAAGAGGAAACGTTCGGGTGAGGGTGAGTGAGTGAGAGATTATGGCGCAAAACCAAAGATGATTATAGCGCGCCAAACACGAGATGGGATGATTACAAATGATGAAATTAAAATACAATAATTAAAAGCAAGTATACAAATGTACCAAATCCAGAGGATGAAATCATATAAAAACAAGTTAAAAGCACACATTAAAATTCAAGACACAGTCTTCAATCATATAAAAACAAGTTAAAAGCACACATTAAAATTCAAGACACAGTCTTCAAAACAAATTACATTAGATAATAAAAGCCAGTCTCTTTTAAATAATAAAATAAATTAATATTGACCTCTCTTCCGATTAAACGGTCGAGAGGTAAGTCACAGCTATTAAAATATTTCTGACGAAGACTATTAAAACTTGGACACTCAATTAAAATATGATGGACAGATAGACAAACATTACAATTTGAACAAACAGGCTCATTCTCAGCTTTTAAAAGGTAGTTATGTGTTACTCTAGTGTGGCCAATTCTGAGGCGAGTCAAAAGAACTTCCTCCTTACGATTTTTGGTTAATTCCCAATGCTCAATTCTAGGCTTTACATGTCTTAATTTATTTTGAAGCTGAACATCCCAAAGTTGCTGCCATTTTTTTTTTTTTTTTCGGATCTTGTTTTTCACAACACAACAGATGTCTCCAAAGGGGATGAGACGTGGAAACGTTCGAAACATGTGGCAGGTAAACATAATTTTGCGTTTTCTCGTACAAATCTCTGAACATCGAATGTGATTGCCATTTTCAAAGATGCTCACAGTTTCAAAACTCTTTTAATTCATGCAATTAGTTTACCAAATAATAATTTCCTGGGAAAAATAACTCACTATCAGATCGACGTAAGATTGCACAAAGCACCTCAAGATTTAAATAATCTAATTACCAAAATCATACTCAGTACTTGCGAAGTTACGAATTCACTTGAGTAACTTCTGCGTTGGCCTTGGCCATTGCTGATTCTAATCAGATTTATGTTTCGTGAAAACAATGAAAGTTATGTGTATCTTTAAATTAAGAATAAACACCAAATACTCATTAATCGTATTAGAAATTTCCGTAAATTTAAAAGAACTTAATCGCAGCGCAACTATGAAACAAGCACTTTCTTTTTTAATCATGATCAAGCATCCTTTCTAGCTAAAACAAAAACATCGCACTTTCCTTGATGTGTGGCGTAGCTGGAACTGTTGTTATTCGGCGCAATCTCTGTGTTTGCCGCTAGAGGTCACCTGTGAATTCTCAGCCCGTACTGATGTACAAATAAATAGTGCGCGTTATAAGCCGAATATTCCGGGATATAACGCGCACTTTTAGCACAAAAACATCGACCAAAATTTACAGGTGTTCGTTATATATAATACATAATGACAGCTTAAACATAAGGAAAAAATTAGATTTTTACGTGCAACAGAACCCTGCTAGTTTAAAAGAAATGACTTAACTTATGAAATTAAACATTTTCTTTATCAGATAACATGAAAAATTCGCTATGCTCGTCTTCTGTTATATCTTATCGAATTCTGTTTCATCTTCCCAATCATTGTTACTTTGATCCATTAATAAATAATCATTATCCGGTCCATCTTTCACGAACACCAAACATTCTTACTGCAGCAGGACTTCCATTTTCTTTCGAAAAATGAATGGCTAGGCATTTGAAAGCAGCACTGTGTTTGTTTCATTTCTCGGGAGGCATATTTACTATTAAAAGGATCACTAGGTCAACAGAATTTCAGCTAAAACAAATAATATTTAACTCAAGCCTTCGATTTTCTGTTCAAACTCACGACTTTCACAACAGAAAGAGAAAATAGCCAACTCCTAATTACACGAATTCATTCAGGTTGGAAGTGCATTCTTACTCCAAATTATATCCCCTTTTCTAGAAACGCTATAATAGCATTCTTTTGGACAACTTCATTGAATACAATTAACCTTCTTTGCTGGAATATATACTCCCTCAAGCATTTAACCCGCACATATATTTTTACCCTTATCGCTTCTCAATTTAGTATACCATTGTTCGAAAAGTTAAGACAAATCTTCGAATTAGTTGTCAGGACTGCTGTTCCTTCTAATTGCCCATAGAAGCATTTAACTAATCCTGAATGGGAGCAGGGAGCTTACTCAAACTATAGTCGTGTGTGTATAGGACAAACAGCACCATTACTAAAGCATATTTACTAATCCTAAATGGGAGCAGGGAGCTTGCTGAAACTATGGTTATGTGTGTAAGATAAATATCACCACTAAGAAAGCATATTTACTAACCCTGAATGGGAGTAGGGAGCTTACTAAAACTATGGTCGTGTGTGTAGGACACATAGCACCCCTAAGAAAGCACATTTACAAATTCTGAATGGGAGCAGGGAGCGTACTCAAACTATGGTCGTGTTTGTGTAGAACAAATAGTACCACTAAGAAAGAACATTTACTAGTCCTGAATGGGAGCAGGAAGCTTACTCAAGCTCTGGTCTCGTGTGTGTAGGACAAATAGCACCACTAAGAAAGCACATTTACTAATCCTGAATGGGAGCAGGGTGCTTACTCAAACTATGGTTGTGTGTGTAGGATAAATAGCACCACTAAGAAACCACATTTATTAATCCTGAATGGGAGCAGGGAGCTTACTCAAACTATGGTTGTGTGTGTAGGATAAATAGCACCACTAAGAAACCACATTTATTAATCCTGAATGGGAGCAGGGAGCTTACTCAAACTATGGTTGTGTGTGTGCAGGATAAATAACACCACTAAGAAAGCACATTTACTAATCCTGAATGGGAGCAGGGAGCTTACTCAAACTATGCTTGTGTGTGTAGGATAAATAGCACCACTAAGAAACCACATTTATTAATCCTGAATGGGAGCAGGGAGCTTACTCAAACTATGGTTGTGTGTGTGCAGGATAAATAACACCACTAAGAAAGCACATTTACTAATCCTGAATGGGAGCAGGGAGCTTACTCAAACTATGGTCGTGTGTGTAGGACACATAGCACCCCTAAGAAAGCACATTTACAAATTCTGAATGGGAGCAGGGAGCGTACTCAAACTATGGTCGTGTTTGTGTAGAACAAATAGTACCACTAAGAAAGAACATTTACTAATCCTGAATGGGAGCAGGGAACTTACTCAAACTCTGGTCTCGTGTGTGTAAGACAAATAGCACCACTAAGAAAGCACATTTACTAATCCTGAATGGGAGTAGGGAGCTTACTCAAACTCTGGTCTCGTGTGTGTAGGACAAAGGGCACCACTTAGAAAGCACATTTACTAATCCTGAATGGGAGCAGAGAGCTTACTCAAACTCTGGTCTCGTGTGTGTAAGACAAATAGCACCACTAAGAAAGCACATTTACTAATCCTGAATGGGAGCAGGGAACTTACTCAAACTATGGTAGTGTGTGTGTAGGATAAATAGCACCACTAAGAAAGCACATTTATTAATCCTGAATGGGAGCAGGGAGCTTACTCAAACTATGGTTGTGTGTGTGCAGGATAAATAGCACCAGATAGAAAGCACATTTACTAATCCTGAATGGGAGTAGGAAGCTTACTCAAACTCTGGTCTCGTGTGTGTAGGACAAAGAGCACCACTAAGAAAGCACATTTACTAATCCTGAATGGGAGCAGGGAGCTTACTCAAACTATGGTCGTGTGTGTAGGACAAATAGTAGCCCAATAAGAAAGGTTAAATTTACCCTTTATTTTTCACAGCGTACAGCCATTCCCGCACTTCGGGCTACAGAGCACTTATGGCCTAAAACGTAGAAAATAAGAAATAAACTAACTTAACTAAATAAGAACTAAACTTAGATGCTCTACAGAGAGTAGTAACGCGAAGATTGGCCTTTTGACACTACATATATAGTGAGCGAAATGCAAAAAACTGCAATATCTCTTCAAGTATCAGTGAGAACTATGTTCTGGCCTTAAAGGCAGACAAAAACTAACTGAAAAGCAAGCGCGTAGTAAGGCATCAAGAAGTCTCTCTGTTGCCTAAAAGCCACATCTTAAGTACCTATACAGTTTGCAACCTCGTTAGCATAAACAATTCTACTCGCGCTTATTGTGGCCGGAAATGGGAAATAAGAGACGATAGCAAAGTTTTAAAATAAAATAAAATAAACTTTAGTAAAACTTAAAATCCTTACAAACTAACAACTGAAAGCAGATGTTCTTTTCGGTCATATATAGTTTTTCACTCAGCCTCAGAGAAAACTCTAGTATTTGTCGAAATTACAAAAATCCGAGAGATTTAATAGTGATATGAGTGAGGCCTTGATACCCGTTTCTTGTTCCATTTTTCCAAGAAATCAACAGTAAATTTTTGTGTAGGACTGCTTGATTTGACACGAAAAATAAAGGCTACTTGATTTGACCCGAAAAATAAAGGCTACTTGATTTGACACGAAAAATAAAGGCTACTTGATTTGACACGAAAAATAAAGGCTACTTGATTTGACACGAAAAATAAAGGCTACTTGATATGACTCTAAGAAAATGATGAATTGAGGGCACCCTTCTCCTCAGTGTCATCAATCAATAGAATTGCATTGAGTTAAATCAAACAGCCTTACCCGAACATTCACTGTTAATTTCCGGCAAAACATTTAACAAGAAACGGGTATCAAGGCTCATATTCCTGTTAAATCTCTTGATATTATCACCCATGGGTTTTGCGCATTTGGACTTGTATAAAGGCTGGTTGTCCAAATGTTGACCTACAACCTTCTTTGGACTTTGAAAAACATTCCGCTTCCGGTACTATAAAACCATTGATTATTTATTGTCTTGGAAATTACTGTGTAGAAAGATAGTGCAGAATAAGGATATCAAATAAAGCATTTAAAATGCAAACATTTTAAGTGAAATATTTCTGTAAATACAATGAAAATGATCTGAAGAATGTACGAACACCCTCTTAAATTTATCATTAATAACGAATATATGAGGAAGTGAGCAGTACATTTTAGAAAACATATCGACATATTATACAACACCATATTTTTATTGTAGAAAACATGTCCGAAAAATTTTAAAAAAATCGGCTCGGTTGAAAGCGAGTCAGATAATAATTTCAAGAGTTTACCCATACAGCTAAATAAAATACAAAGAAACAAGCAGAAAGCCAAGTTAAATAAACTATATAAAAACATCTCACCTAATAGTAAAATTCCTACTATACCACCATCCTTGGTTCTGAGCTCGGAGTCTTTAAAACTGTTCATACTCATAACTTTTCTTAAATCAGATGGCAAGAAGTCTGTAAAAATTCCCGAGTATTTTTTCTTGAAGCGATAGAAATTTAAGAATGAGTTGAAAGCTTTCTGGACGTCGTACTTCTTGCAGCGAAGAAACATCAAGAAGAAAGTATCATCCATGAAGGGATAAAAATTTGGCTCATCTGAAAAATGAGAAAGTAATAATAATAATAATAATAATAATAATAATAATAATAATAATAATAAGTCTGTGCTTTCAGATTTTAAATTCACCAAAGTAAATTTGTTGAGGCTTTTTACAGTTTCGCTGACCTTGCAGTCTACCAATCTCCTACTAACCTCCAACTAACCCATTCTTTATTTTTTTTTTTTTTTTGTCTTTTTAGCTTTATAATTAAGCATCATTTTCTTCGCATTTACGCTATGTACATTCAACAGAAAAATTACCGAAATTTTAAAAGCAACATAGAAAGATATATTTAGAATTTCCGATGGAGTATTAGTGTTCCATGCATTTTTTTAGTCTTGTCTCTTTTTTCAGCATTTTTTCGCAATTTATCATATCAATGTTTAGTTTTTTTTAATAAGATGGCTTACAAAACTTTTGTTTTGTCTTGCTGCATTCTACAGGTTCGCGCATTTGCAGTAATTGAGGAGTAATTGATGGTAATGTGTTTCTGAATGAGGATTAAGAGGATATTACTTTGATTCATCAATTATAAAAGTATCTCAAAAGCATGGCTTTAGTTATAATAAATACTATACCATAGATGTATTAAAAGTACTAAAACAATATATTCTGCTCCATGCATCTCTTTCGCCATTGCTAGAAAATCCTCCCCCCTCCAGCTCTTGAAAAATGTATATACGTTTATTTAGATTCAGATTACGTTTCATATTGTTTTATAAATTAAACAACAAAAGTGTAGAAAATGTTGATAAGTGCCAAAACTTTAACAAAAGTAGATTTTGATATTCATAAACTAAAACTAAATACTTAACACATAACTAAAAGGTTGACCATGTTCTTCCCCCTGAAGTTTTGAAATTTCCCTCGGTTGAAAATCCCTGTTGTAGAAGATATATAAAGATAGGAGAGGAAAAAAAATTTAAAAAAAATAACATAATTTTTAAATCAAGTTGAATGTTTACCTCACAAAAGCATTCAAGAGATGGCTGCTATGAAATAAATACCTGGCTAAAGGGTTTTCTAAGGATTATTAATATGTATTTATGTTAAGTTTTTCGCCAGTGGAAAGTGAACGTTTTATCAAGTGAAGTATATTTTGAAAAATATTTTTGCTAATTGAGATCAATTTCGTAAAATACTTAGAAACTTTCAATTAGGCATTAGCAGTTGTTACCTGTTATATACAGTGATGAAATTATATTACTGGATATTCAGTAAAGATTATTAACTTGTTTAATTATGAGTACACATTCAGTGTATGTGAAAGCATAAATACTGGATCAAAGTATCACTAATAACAATCATGGTAATACAGTGAATATTTAACTTCTCTTGAAATCAGTAATCTATATTTGTAACACATAACTTCCTACATACACATTTAATACATTTAATACATTGTAGCATTTAATGGTGTTAAAATTAACCAGCTCTATTTTCTAAGTATAATGATGTTGGTACCGTTAAAAAAGGACTCGATTTACAATATTGGAGGCCATCTGATGTTTTGAATCTGGCAGATGTCACTAATGGATGTTAATGATATTATTCGTGTAAATAATGTACAGTACATTCGCATATAAAGTATTTTGTGAACTAGCCTTATCAGGTTCTGTGTTCCTCCTTACTTGCTTAGGGAACATTAACTGTCCTGACTCGGAACAGGGAGCTTACTAAAGCTATGTTCAATAAATTTGGGAAGTAGACAATACACACAGGAAGGGTATACGAAACCCTTTATTTTTCTCTCTTTACAATGATTTCCGGACTTAGGAATACAGAGACCAACCACTTGTCGTCTGAACGTAAGAATATAAAAATATTAACTAAACTCTAACTAAACTAACTTTGGATTAATCAAACAAGTTCCTAACTCCAAGGTTGGCCGTATATTAACAAAAAGCCGTATGTAGTACAGAGATCTGCTAACACTACGATACGTTTAAAATTATCAAGAGGATTAAACCTCTGGCCTTGAAGGCAACCAGCAACCGAGTAAAACTACTATGGCAAGCGGCCTGCTTCTAGTAACTCCTTCCTCTCTCTTGCTTGGCAAAAAGCCACAACTTAAGTACTTGGCGTTCGCAAGACAAATTTGCATAAATAAGTTAAAGCTTTTAATTCTGGCCGGAAGTAGAAAATAAGAAGTGATAGTAAAGATTTAAAATAAAATAAACGTTAGTAAAACTTAGGATCCTTACAGCCTTATATTATTAAACAATTTTAATTTGTTGCTATTTAACGAAAAAAATATGTCACCTTTTTGAATGTTTTGTTTTTATGGTTTCAGTTTATTATCTACTGTGTTAAATATAAACTTACACACTTTTATCAAAGATTTTAAAATCTGGGCCCTTTCAGATTTTATTTATTTATCTATTAATATATTATTATTATTATTATTATTATTATTTATTATTATTTTGTATTTCTTTAATTTTTTAAAAGTGATTAGATAGTAATTATTCACGTTTGAAAGGGAACTGCACTTTGAGGACTTTCCGAGCAGATTATGAAGGTAACATAATGTTAAAATATCTTAAAATATACCATATGACTTCCTTGTACGGAATATTAAATTATGCACATTTTTTCCTGCATATCATTTAAACTTATTTCCTCGAATTTTATTAGGAACAGATTTCTCATTCAATTAATTCAATTCTCACTTTGCGGCAAGGCAAAAATGCAAAACCTCAAAATACCTTTATTAAAAACTAAAAAATATAAAACATCGTATAAATAAGACAAAATAACATGCCGAATAAATACTAATTCAGAAGTCAAACAACAAAAATCAGCGTTATTTTTAGCGTTTTGTAAATATAACGCTGATTTTTGTTGTTTGACTTCTGAATTAACATCGTATAAAGTTAAAACAATTAAAAATATTACAATTAAAATTAGAGTGTCTACGCAAAAGCAAGCACTTCGAGCAGCAGGTTAATAAGGCAGGTTTTTCGGTGCATAAAACTGAAAGTTTATTTTTGGTTGCATTCGGCAAAACGACACTCAAGGTGCATAAACTGACTTAATTCACTATTCTGCTAAGTTTCAAATGTAAATAAATATGGCTGTTTTTGTAAAAACAGCTTTTAAATTGTTCATAATTCTACAACAATTACATGCAGATTATCTAAAGGCTAAAAACGTTAACCGGAAAATAAGAACAACATAATTCAATCCCTTTTAAGGCAAATGCACAATTTACCAACGTATAAGAATAAAAATTTGATGTATACACCACATGACTTCCTTGTACGGAATATTAAATTATACGCATTTTTTCTTGCATTTCCTTTAAACTTATTGGAATGAATTAAACCTACTTAGCCGAAAGCGCATAAACCACAGTAGAATAAAGGCATTCCTTAAAATTCACTTTATTTGTTTACCATAGCGACACTCTGGCGCTAGGTTCACTTAACAGTATTATATTTCGTTCATATTATAACTCAGAATGCACAAAATTTATATCATTTAAAGAATTATCTAATCGTTGCCACATGTTCTATTCAAATACTATAATAAAGCTAGAATGATGTATAAAAGAAATTAAGCAAACAAAACAAAAAGGAAACAGTTTTTTACAGACGATTGAGTATTTCTCATTCAATTCATTCAGTTCTCACTTCGCGACAAGGCAAAAATACATAAAAACTCAAAATATCTGTATCAAAAATTACGAAGTAAATCTTAAACACTTATTTCCTCGAAAAAATTCCAGAAAGGATTAAGCTTGATTAAATTCGCAATAATAAATGAAGGCGCTGTCTTTGTTGTTGCGAAGCTACACGTTTCTTTAGATTGGCAACAAATCCACTACTCTGCTGTTTCAAATGTAAACAAGCAATGGCAAACGGCACATAAACAACTTTAAAATTGTTGATAATTCTAAAAATATTGCATACAGATTTACTAAAGGCATAAAAACCTTAACCGGAAGATAAAAACAACATAATACAATCATTTTTAAAGCCAAAAATGTACAATTTACAAGCATATAAGAGTAAAGAAACTGAGATCACTGAGCCGGGTAACAGAGTGGATATATATATAAATATATTTATAAAGGTTTGGTGCGGGCGATTGCAACAAAAATACGAGGTGCAGATCTACATGTTATAGTAGTCCTATGTACAAAATTTTAACATTCTGAGGCTACTTGTTTTTGAGTACGTAAACGTCACGAAAAAGAAACTCTTTTGAATCCATTTTAAATCCTTTTTGCAACTCATTTTGGGGAAAACAGTCCTTTATTCTGTCGTTATATACAGAAGTGAAGCAAAAACATTGCTAAATCGCATTCGATAGCGTTCAAAATGGATATTTTCTTTGAAATATGATACCCGAAAATTTTCGTTATTACAATCTTTCATGTCGTGGAGCAAAAACAATTTTACTTTACACCTGACTGCCAGTGGCTCCGACATAGCAATGTGAATACTCTACATCTAAAATTTTAAAACACCATTCCAGAATTTTAAATGTTTATTTAATAGAATTCTATTCATATATTTGCAAGTTATACACTATAAACACAATAACAAAAATTTTAACTTATCTGCACCAGCGTGAATAAGCCTGGCATAATTTCTGAACTCGGCGCAACTTTAGGAGGTAAAATACCGCAAATTCAAACACAAGGGTTTCATCCTTTTCAAAGCAGCTAATTTTCTAAATATATTTTACTAATATCCGCAGCGGGGCAGCGGATTCCATTTCATTCACCCAAAACTCAAATTTTGTAACGCAATAGTATCGCAAAATACGCAAAGAAAAAAAAATCGACTTAAAATCAAAATTAAAAATCTATAGAATATCATCCGCTGTTGCCAGTCCAGCACTGCCAATTTTTTCTTCCTGCAGCTGTTGCCAGACTTATCCTCGCTGTATGCGAGAGGTACAACACAATCCTTCCTTTACTTCGTGCAAAGAAGCAAAAATGAATCATTCAGAATACATGTCACTTACTTTCTATAAGCTGTTTGAAGAATATCAAAGCCTGTTTTCTGACATCAGACGTCTCCCCAAGTTCTATTTTTGCTTTCTTTATCAACTCCGGCGTTAATCCATCGAGGTGATATGGTAGAAACTCCATTGGTACTAATTACATTCCAACTTTAAAACATTTACATCAAATACTATAACGATGACCTTCAAATAAAAGCAAATTCAGCAAAAAATTTCTTAAAGCGACATAAGTTTTCGATCTTCTTTGAACGAGTAATCGTAAACAACATGAATGCCCAAAATGATCATGTGCGAGTTAACTCGGAAAAATAATAGTGTGACAAAAAAATTGTAAAAACGCGTCATTTATATGGAAGGTCAAATTTGTTGCAATTATGTATAAGTCTAATCATTATTCATATCAAAAGGTCAATTATTTCCTGCAGTGATACACATCAAAAGCTATTCTTTTCCACACAAAACTGGAATCAAGTGTAACATTAATTACTTATAAAAAAGAGGAATTAAGGAAATACGGGAGATATTATCGCAGCTATCACAACAGACGATTTATCCTCTATGCAGAAGAACTTTTTTTTTTTTAATCTTAAAAAAATGGCTTCACAAATATCCTGGTATTATCTTCTTTAGCAATCCACTGTTTACGTGAAACATTTTCTGTTTGTTTTTCTGTAATTAACGTGCATGTAGATTACGCTATTGCCTTTTTATGCAGGCATCTTGAGTTTTGATTAAAGTTCCAAGACTTGTGACCCATTCACTTCAGAATATGCACCGTTTAGTATAATATTTAAGTACATTGCGCAAAAAAAAAAAAAAAAAAAAAAAAAAAAAGCGGAGGGGGGCAGTTTTTTATCTCCCTTTCTACTGGGCCGATTGACAAAATTCAAGCTGCGGTTTTTATGTCTCGAAAGCGCGACTTAGGATATATATTAGATTTATATATAGCATTGTTCTAACATAGGTATTTTGACTCAAAATCGGACTTTTTCTGAAATAACATATCAATTTTTTTTCATATTTTCATTCTACGACTCAAATTACGCCTAAATATTAAATTTTATAAAATTTGGTGCCAATTTACAGAGAAACTCAAAAATTTATCCTGGCGCAATTTTTTTTCAGTTTGCGCTAAGAATAATTCACTTGGCGAACTTCTTAATATATGGCAACCTATTTTCCTTTTCCTTCCATTATGCCGGAGATGGAAAAAAGGCACCTCGTTCCTACCTTTTCACATTTTGCATGCGCGGAAAAAAAGTCACATCGTTCCTACTTTTATTAAATAATTTTAGCAAAGTGTCTAAACCACATTTCCTGTTTTATCCCTTTCAACAAATATGCCAAATTTCAAAACGCGCCAATATATAAAATCACGTATATGTTCTGAACTTTTGAATATAAAACTGTAACCTTTTGCTGATATGTTTAGAAATACGTCTACTGTAAGATGATGGTAAAATTTTTATAGATTATAACTCAAAATGTTTTTCGAAAAAATTACAAAAATTATTTAAAAACACAAATTTAAAACATAAATCATTAAAAATGGGCGAATTCCATTTGAAATGAACCTGAATATCGAAATGTGAAAGGCAGAATCAAATAAGTTTAATAAAAAAAGAGATATTTATAAACATATACCAAACTCAATTAACACTGAAGAGCTAAAATTTTGAGGGCTAATTTTTTAAAAAACTACTCATGCGATTTTTTACAAAATTTGGCAGTTTGGCGTAATCTGAGTCGTAAAATTGAAATATGAAAAAAAAAAAATTGGCGTGCCATTTCAGAAAAAGTCCGATTTTGTGCCAAAATACCTATATTAGAGCAATACTATATATAAATCTAATACATATCCTAAGTCAAGCTTTCGAAACATGAAAAACGCAATTTGAATTTCGTCAATCGGCCCAGAAGAACGGGAGCTATAAAAAACCCATTTTTTTTTTTTTTTAGTCCAAAGGGATTTGAATCCCGAAGGACTATTAGTTTCGTTTTGGCATTTTGCGTCGGACTCATAAATGTCGGTTCACTTTTCAAACTGTTGCCACAAAATGTTAGAGTCCTGCATTATATTTGAAGAAATTAAATAATGAAAAATCTGCATAAATGTATGTATATTTCTCGTATTGTGATAAAACAACGGTACATAGGGTCATCGAATTTTGAATAACGTAATCCTCTAACGAATATGAGCAGTGGAAGACCAAATTTGAAATTTGAAATTTGTTTTATGATCGATTTCCTATTTTTTAAAACTTTGACGAATTTTTGATTTAACAAACTCAAGGATTTCAAAGCGAGCAATGGCAACGTTGTGCAGAAAAAACATTTTTATCTCCAGCGCGTGAGTCTCTGTATCGGAAATTCTAAAGATATGCTCGTTTTAAAACTATTTTGCGATATTGCTGTTGCACTGGATCTTATGGTTTAAGTGCGAGGAACATGATATTTAATAAAGAAAGGTGACACACAAAATGTTAAAAAACGCCCCTTTGGACGTAATTTAAAATCTGAAACATTTCAAATTTTTTTTTTCCCCCGCAGTGTATATACGGATTGTCACGTACGTACGGGTTCGTAATGACTTGAATGCACACACAACCGATGATAGCTTGATAAAGTATATTTTCCTAAAGGAACCATTTAGTGTTCTGGAAGTTTCCCTAAAAGCATTCGTAAAACTCTTCTCGGGATAACAGAGTATAGTCAGCGATTACGCTTCAAACTACTAAGAACGTTAAACACAACGTAATGCAAAGCGCTTTTAATTAAAGCGGAAGCTCTAACCTATATCTCAATGCTCCGAAGTCAGCTCTGAACTAACAACTACTTTGAGAAATATCGATATCGGTATCGGCAATGTCATATCGCGATATTGCGAATTTAGCAATGTAATGCTATATACAGTCTTATGTACTTTTCTCCCCGCAACCGAGAAATTTCCAGTGATTGCTTTTTCTCAAAATTACTGGAAAGCATATATATTAAGTTATATATAAAGGTCGGATAAGATTACAGTTACGTATTGTGATCAATTACAGTTACACGGGGACCCGACCTAAATATCGCCACTTGGTCGCCGAAACTGGCAACTTTTGACGATTTGTTGCCAAATTTAGCGACAAAAATTAATCGCTGAATTGTACTCTTTTGCATTCCAGAAACCTCGAGAAAATACCAGAATGTTCTCGTGCATGATTGAAAAGCTTATAAAAACCGGAGGGAAACATCTCAGTTCAGTTGTTTACTTAGTTCTTATTGTTGATTGTATCAGATTAGCTTTCTCTACGTTTGAATTGTGTTGTATTTAACGTTTTAGTAGTTTAACTACTGTATGATATTGTACGAATATATGTGAGGAGAAGTTTCCATATTTTGTTTTATTTCTCGTGATAAGAATAAATTTTATTAACTTTTCATCAGACTTGTTCATTCGTTCTATTACGAACCAGTACTCCCGCAACAATGTATTATACAAAAAGATACTAAAATTTCATATATAATTTCGTTAAAATTATTTACATATATACAAAATTTGTAATATCGTCCTTTCCTAAGGATTGCACATCTCGTGTAGTCCCTGAACAGGAAGAAATATTTGCAACTTTGGCAATTCAATCGAATGCTAAAATAATAATTTCTGTAACATAAAACATATTAAATCAATAAATGCACGATTTTATAAATGCGTATACTAATAGGACCATGGTCTTGGTACACTATTTGTATTATATACAATATGGGGACTACGTAGTGTAGTCAAAGTAAGGGACCAGCCTATCGTAATGAATGATTTTAGGCTTAGGATTTCATGGATTACGGTTCCGAACTACGACGTCGTTCTGACTATTTACAATCGTGTAAGAGTAGTGCTTGGGTTATTGTAGTTTACGTGAAAGCCCTTTCTGTTAAATCGGATTCCATCACCACACCTTGTGAGCTTCAGTCAATCAATGTTCTGTAGCTCTCGTGTCATAACGGGTATTTATTTATCTTCTCCTTCACCAGGTTCACTCGTTCCCGTTCTCTCGTTCACTTCAATACCCTACGCATCACTTCAAACCGTGCCTAGAGATTTTGAATCTTCCTCAGGAAACATTATTAATGGTCTTTCTTAAGTAGATACGCAATGTAATGAACTCTGGCGCAATGTAATAAATGTAATATAACGAACGCAATGTAATGAATGATCCACAATGTAATGAACGACTGGCTCATACGCAACCATGAGCGCTAACACGCATGCGCCCTTCGGACCGAATTATTTTCAAAATAGGGTGGAAGGATGGGGACTTTCTTTTCCTCGAGCACATAAATTCTCTTTTTTCCGGAGAAGAGAAGACTCACGTCAACTTTCAAGTCTCAACAAGTAATAACGCCCCTTTCGGACGAGTCTATGTGTTTTGGCAGAATGCCAACCAAGGTATGTGTTTTGGCAGAATGCCAACCAAGGTTGCGTTTAAGCCGGTCGAACTACATCAATAAATTTTTCGAATTCGGAAATTTATTCTCTGGTTTTACAGACTACGTCTACAACGTTTTCAGATTAATTCTTTAACAAAGTTTAGTAAACCTACCAAACATTTAGTCATCATTTATTACTATAACACCTAAAATTGTTTTTCTTAAAATATGGTCTAAATATGATTTGTGCAAATATTGTATCATATAACATAATTGTACTGGTCAGAAGACATACTGTTTTCTAACTCTGAATGGCATTTCGGAAGTAGCAGTAGCAGTAGTAGTAGAAGTAGGAAAGCAGTAAAAGCTCTTATTTTTAAAAGTACGGAAGGCTAAAACAAAAGCGACACTTCTAACATCGATCGCTAGAGTTAGCACTAAACGTGCTAAGCTGATCGCTAGCGTTAGCACTAAAAGACACAGCAGTTTGGAAAACGGACACAAAGATATGGTTTATCCAATTGAAAGCTCAGTTACGACAGATCAAACGAAATACGATTATGTCGTGAGTTCCACTGAAGCTGAAATATTATCACAAATGTCGGACATTTTGATCAGTCCCCCAAGGGACGAACAAGTACGTGGTTATTAAAAACAAACAAATTTGCATCTTCGCCGAAACCCAAACGCAAAAGACCCAAAAATTATTAACTAAGGTCGAATTGGGTGAAAGAAAATCTTTCCAGTTGTTACTAGAAATGAAGAATTTAGCTTCAGATACGTTAGGTGAAACTTTTCTTAAAACTCTCTGGATTCAAAGATTACCCATGCCAATCTCGAGAATTTTATCCATCAGCGGCGATGATTTAGCCAAATTGGCGACAATGGCCGATAAAATGTGGGAAATAAAACCCACGTCACACCAGAATCCAGCTATAGCTTGCCCTAGAGATGACAATGTTTTAGTTAATCTACGAGAGCAGATTTCAGAGTGATCCCTACAAGTAAGCGAACTGAGGAGAAGACATTTTTCTAGAGGTCAACAGTTCTAATACCGCTCTAGAAGTACTTCTATTAATAGGCGTAGTAGCGAATATGAAAGCTTATATTATTATCACTCAAGGTTCAGCGATAAGGCTTTGCTTAATGCAATAATCCTTGCAATTGGTCTGATAAGACCAAAGTTCACACACAGGAAAACGAAATTCTCAATTCTCGCAAACGATGGAGAGCCAAGGGGGTAGAGGTATGGCGTTGCTTTATGTCGTGACAAGGACAGCGCCATCCAATTTTTAATCGATACTGGCGCAGAAATTTCCGTGATTCCCCCATTATCGAAAGAAAAGAAGAGCTGTTGGACAAAACTTAGTAAATTTGATTTGTGTCTGAGAAGGGCATTTGATTGGCCTCTTGTGATAGTTGGTGTAAATACACCAATAATAGTATTGACAAAATAGTATTGACTTTTTGGTCTCACTTTCACCTTTTGGTTGACAGCAAGAATCGTAAATTAATTGATGGCATCACTTCATTATCTTCTATTGGTGACTTCACCTATGGTGTCGTTTCACCAATGGTTCATGCAGTACAGAATCAGTACGAAGTAATCCTCAAACAATTTCTAGATCTTTTGCGGCCAAGACTCGTCAATAATAAAATCAAAAGTCCTAACATTGAACATTTCATTGAAACTCTTACGACTAGGATCAGAAGACCCTCAGCCGAATTAAAAGCACCAAAAGCCGAATTTGAGTTTATGTTGCAAAAGTTCTTTAAAGGCCTTCAAACGTTGTTGGGCCAGTTCTCTACATCTCACCCTAAAGAAATCAGATGACTGGAGACTATGTGGAGATTGTAAGGTTATTAATAATATCACCACTCCTGATCGATATCCTCTATCGTCCCTAACCGACTGTGGCTATATTCCCCACGTAAAGAAGATTGTTTCATCCATTGACTTAATTGGAGCTTATCAACAAATTCCAGTGCACGAAAATGACATCCCAAAAACGGCCATTATAACTCCTTTTGGGCTGTTTGGATTCCCATTCTTGACTTTTGGTTTACGCAACTCGGCAGAGACATTTCAGCGGTCCATGAATATTGTTACGAAATGTCCAGGCGTGGTAAGATAGCTTCCCCGCAAAGCGGGTTTAGGGTTGCCATAAAATGGAAAGGGAAGGTAGGGTTGCCACATTTGGCGAGAAATCGCCCATTTGGCGATAAAATTTGCATAATGCCTTGGACAGATGGAGAACCTTCTAGAACGAATTCTTACCGGTTTAGCCCAGAATGTTCTCGAACACAAGCCGAAAGCTATATAAACCCTGCTGGTCCGCAGTCAGTTAGTGTGTGTTTCTCATCAAATGTGTGACTCGTCGAGAGGGCGAGTCAGATTGTGCGCCTCGTCTGGCGAGCTGATAGTCAATTAGTATCGAGTTGGTGTCTCGTCTAGCGAGTCAATCCCTGCGGAGTCAATCGAGTTCACAGCCGGGCAGCGAGTGCCGAGTGGGTCGTCGAGTTCACCGAAGGAGTCTGTTAATGTATCGCGGTTAGTGCATCATCGAGAGAGCGTGCTAAGCTCCGGGAACGACTGAACCAAAGAGTTGGGAGCCGTGCTCTGTGTGTCGTCGACTGCATCACGAGTTGTAGCGTGGAGAGTCTCGAGAGTACGTGGAGGTAATTACTGTCAGATAGATAATTCTATCTAGAATGATATTGTTACGAAATTTACAGGTGCGGTAAGATGGTTTCCCCGCAAAGCAGTTTTAGGGTTGCCATAAAATGACAAGGAAAGGCAAGGTTACCACATTTGGCGATATTAAGCGACAAATTGGACGATATACCATGGACAGATGGAGAACCTTCTAGAACGAATTCTTACCGTTTTAGCCCAGAATGTTCTCGAACACAAGCCGAAAGCTATATAAACCCTGCCGGTCCGTAGTCAGCTAGTGTGCCTCGTCTAGAGTGTGAGTTAGTGTCTCTCATCTACTTAGTCCGCGTGGAGACGATCGAGTTGACAGCCGGGAAGCGAATGCCGAGAGGGTCGCCAAGTGCATCGAAGAGTCTCTTTAGTGTATCGCGGTTAGTGCATCGTCGAGAGCGTGTGTTAAGCTCCGAGAAGGACTGAACGGAAGAGTCGGGAGCTGTGCTCTGTCTGTCGTCGAGTGCATCGCGAGCTGTTGTAGCGTAAAGAGTCTCGAGAGTAGGTGGAGTTCTGAGAAACGACCGAACAGAGTCGGGAGCTGTACTCTGGTATTTTGCAGTGAAGCTCTCTCCACCGTTATTGCCTGACAGTGTAAAGGCTGTGTCGCTGATTGTTCCAGCGTGTTTATAGCAGATCTTCGACGACTGTAAAAGTGTTTTGAAGCTGTCTTGATTGATATTGGTAAATAAAGTGTGTTACGATACTTCATCATCAAATGTCGTCATTATTCACTCCAAATCTACGAAACCAGTACGAACGTGAAGGAAGAAAATAGCGTAAGAACTGGTGTTAGGAAAAAACGTAACAATATGTTACTATCAGGATTAGACTAGATGACATACTAATCGCTTTTCCAAACAAAGAGTCACACCCTAAGCACTTACACACAGTTTTAAGAAAGTTAAAACGACTAGGGTTTATGCATCAATGTTGCAAAATGTATTTTTGGCACTTCAAAACTTAATTATCTTGCGTATAAAATCACAAAGTGAAACAATCCGACGAAAGTTCTGGTCCCATTTTTCAGGTGAACTATTATAATTAAAATACACTGAAATGGTTCATCGGCTGATTCTGGATACAGAAAGGCAAGGATTTTTGTGGAAGAGAAATTTCAATTGATTTCAATGTTCCTCCTCCTGACGAAGTGGCACTGATGTTAATTGATTTCCTCTTATATGAAGTTCTTTTGATTATTTTCCACTAATTTTTGAATAAATAGATAAACAATAATAACAAATGTAATAGCAAAAACATTTATTCTCAGTACATCTGACTTCAATTTAATCCACATTATTTTTTACTTTTCATCAGTAAAAAATTATATTGTTGTACATGATGTTTCTCCCATTTTTGATGGGTTTCAATTTAAACTGGTATACCTGAAAACGCTGGCAAAACTTATTAACTAACTTCTCGCAAACGAAAACTCTCATTTAGAATTAATACCTAAGCAATCAATTCTAAAAAATCTTAAAAAATCTCCAGTAAAAGTTTAAAAATTCTCCAGTATCTTAGAGTTTCTCGTAGTTTATTCTAAAACGTATTTTTGTATATAATAACATCATACTGAAAATTTCCAGATGAAGCAAATTGGGATGAAACATGTTGCATCTCTCATGAATTATTACAATTAATTTTAAAGCGTAGTTTCATGTAAGAGGCTGCGATGTATATTAAAAGGCAAACGATGAGACCTTTCTTTTTGGTGAAAATTTCTGTTCCTATAAAAGGAAATAAATATTTAAAAAAAAAAAAAAAAAAAAATCTGAAATTCGAAGGAGCGTTTTTTAACGTTTTGTGTGTTACCTTTATGTACCATAGTGTTCTTCGCACTTAAACCAAATAAAATTCAATTCACCGCAATATTGCGAAATATTTAAAAAGAGCATCTCTTTAAAATTTCCGATAGACTGTCTCGCACCCTAAAGATAAAAATGATTTTTCCGTACAGTGTTGTCATTGCTCGCTTTGAAATCGCTGAGTTTGTCAATCAAAAATTAGTTCAAATGTTACAAAATATGAAATTGATAATAAAAGAAATTTCAAATTCAAATAAGGGCTTCCACATGTCCATATTTTATGGAAGATAACGTTATTCAAATATCACTATGCGAGAACATATTTTCATGCAGATTTTTCATTATTTAATTTTTTATATATAGTACAGGGCTCTAATATTTGGTGGCAACAATTTGAAAAGTAAACCGACATTTATAGTGAGTCAACACTAAATGCTAAAACGAAATGAATAGCCTTCTGGGCTAACGCCTTTTGGACTAATAATAATTTATTATTAATTCTTTTTTTTTATTAAATTCAAGAGCTATCTAATCATCTTTTCACTAGATCGTTTGCGATCATTGCATTCAACAAGTATTTTATGCAAGTGAACTGGCAATAATTTAATTTTTGCAAGGACACAAAATTCGAACTGAAGTAAATGAACAGGATTTAAAAAAAAAAAAAAAAAAAATGGTGAAAAAAAATCAGGACTTTGGTCAAAACTGCGAAATTATTCATTTGCAAACAAAACATTCTTTCGCAATTTTAAATTCAAGAGCTATCTAATCATCTTTTCACTAGATCGTTTGCGATCATTGCATTCAACAAGTATTTTATGCAAGTGAACTGGCAATAATTTAATTTTTGCAAGGACACAAAATTCGAGCTGAAAAAAATTAACAGGATTTAAAAAAAAAAAAAAAAAAAAAAAAAAAAAAAATTGGTGAAAAAAATCAGGACTTTGGTGAAAACTGCGAAATTATTCATTTGCAAACAAAATATTCTTTCGCAAAGAAATAGAACATAAATTTCTTAACTTTCATTCAATCACATGGAAGAAAAAAGATAAATTTAACCACGAGTAATCTAAAATTTTCTACTGTTCTTTTCGAATGATAATAAAACCGGAAGTGACGCTTTAAAATTCTAAGCTTGGATATGGCCCCTATCGCGATAGAAAGACGCTCCAACATAAATCCGATCTGAAGTTTTGCAAGCTGTGTAATTTAAGGATCTTACCCAGAATTCAGTGCAGCTGTCAACGGAGTTTCGATTACGAAGTTGCGAAGTTCGTGCACGTTATACGTTCTTTATTCAATTACAGATTTTATTTATCAGTTGTTTGTATTTCAGGCCATGGTCGTCACCGAAGAAACGAAAGCAATACCCGAGCTGTTACCACATGAAGTATGTAAATACATTGCATGATATTATGTAATTTCAATACTTTGTTTATAAAATATTAATGTTTACTTGTCGATACTAAAAAAGAACCATTATGTGAATCGGTAACCTCAAACCCAAACTGCAAGCTTGCCAATGCTGATTCTGAAAGCAAGTGATAGAACTTTTCAAACCAAACGGGCGATTAATTCGAAACGTTGTTTTCCGTAGTGGAATGTAAATACGTTGTTTCACATTTTATCAAAGTCTGTTGCCATTCAGGAAAATGTAACATATTATTCTTTCATATATTATCTATCTACTACGGATTAAGAAATTAAATTATTTAAAAGCAATAAATACAGTTTCAAAGAATATTCTTTTTTTACTTTTTAATCTGGTTAAGTTTAAAAAAAATGCATTTTAATTCATGATATATCTAATTAAAAACATTAAGTCTATTTATTACTATTTTTTTACCTTTTAGTTTTATTGATTTAAATGAAAATGCATCTAATTCGTGATGTATCTCATAAAAAAAGTGAAATATTTCTTACTTTTTATTTGATTGATTTAAATAAAAATTCTTATATCTATCTAAAATCGTTAAATATTTTGAAGCTTTTTTTAGTTTTTAATATGCTTGATTTAAATAAAAATGCATCTAAATCGTGATATATCTTATTCAAAACATTAAATATTTAGATTTTTTAGACTTTTTAGTTTCATTTAGATTTTTTTACATTTTAATCTGAGAAAAAAATGTATTTGATTCATAATATAACTAGGTAAAAACGATAAATATTTTTATATTATTTTTACTTCCTTGTACAAAGTAAAAAGGAAGTATTGTAATCCCGAAAAGTTTCAGGCAACATATTCCAACGAAAATATCCATTTTGACCGCTATCGAATGCAATTTAACGATGTTTTGGCGTGATATCTGTACGTAAGGACAGAATAAGAGACTCTTTTCCTCCAAAAAAATTATAAAACTGCTTTAAAATTAATTCTGAAGAGAATTTTTCGTGGCGTCTGTACGAACGTATGTACGTACACGTACGTACGTATCTCGCATAACTCCAAAACGAGTAGCCTCAGAACGTTGAAATTTTGCATAGAAGACTGCTATAACATGTAGATGTGCACCTCTTATTTTGGTTGCAATCGGCCGCATCAAACGTATATAAATATATTTATTTATATATCCACTCTGTTACCCGGCTCAGTCATCTCAGTTTCTTTACTCTTATATGTTTGTAAAATTGTACATTTTTTGCTTTAAAAATGATTGAATTATGTTGTTTTTATCTTCCGGTTAAGGTTTTTATGCCTTTCGTAATTCTGGAAGCAATATTTGTACAATTATCAACAATTTAAAAGCTGTTTAAGTGCGGTTAAGTTTTAAATAACATGGCGGACATATTTGTTTACATTTGAAACAGCAGAATTGTAGATTTGTTGCCAATCTAGAGAGACTAAGCTTCGCAACACAAAAATAACGCCTTCATTTATTATTACGAATTAAATCATGCTTAATCCTTTCTGGAATTTCTTCCAGGAAATAAGTGTTTAAGATTTACTTCGTAAACTTTAATGCAGATATTTTGAGTTTTTATGTATTTTTGCCTTGCCGCGAAGTGAGAACTGAATTAATTGAATGAGAAATACTCAATCGTCTGTGAAAAACTGTTTCTTTTCTGTTTTGTTTTCTTAATTTCTTTCATACATTGTTTTAGCTTTTTTATAGTATTTGAATAGAACATGTGGCAACGATAATTCTTCAAATGATATAAATTTTGTGCATTCAGAGTGTCGTTATAGTAAACAAATATAGTGAATTTTAAAGAGTGCATTTATTCTATTGTGGTTTATGCGCTGTCGACGAAGTAGATTTAATTAAATGCAATCAATTTAAATGAAATTCAAGAAAAAAATGCGTATAATTTAATATTCCGTACAAGGAAGTCATGTGGTATACACATCAGATTTTTTATTTTTTTATGTTATCGATTTAAATAAAATGCATGCGTTTCGTGACATATCTTATTAAAAGAATTAAATATGTTTATATATTTTTACATTTTACTTTCTTGCACCAATTAAAGGACGTGCTGCAATCGCGAAAAATTTGGGACATCATATTTCAACAAAATTATTCATTTTGACAGCTCAGGGAATTAATTTGAACAATGTTTCTGCTTGGCGTCTGTACGTTCGGACAGAATTAAGGACTCTTTTTTCCAAAATGGATTTGTAAAATGAATTGGATTCAGAAGACATTTTTTTCATGACACACGTACGGATCTCTCGTAACTCCATTAAAACGCTGAAGTTTTTTATTTGAGATTGCTATTACATATAGTTATGCAACTCCCGTTTTGGTTGCAATCGGCTCCACCAAACGTATATAAATATATAGAGAGATGTGTGTATTTAATTATGGCAAAGCACACTAGGGCTATCTACCTAAGGGGAGGGATACCTTCATGGAGGACATTCTAAGGGAAACTGGCTCGTATGCACGTTATACTTGGGAAAACCACGAAAACACCCATGCAGCCAGCCCGTTCGCGGGATTCAAACCTCGAACCGAACTACCAGTGTTCAGCGACTTTACCGCTCGGCCGCTGGTAGGCCTATATATAGAGGGAAACAATAAGAAATTAAAAACCTGTTTTATGCAAAAAACCAAAAAAGTGAAAAATCCAAATAGATTTCAAAATATCCTATAAATATGCAAAATAAGAATTAGAAATGGGAAAGGAAAACCTATACATCATAAAAACCTGAAAAAAATATACAACCCCCTATATATATATATATTATATATATATATGTATATATAATATATATATATATATAAAGAGGATAATCATTTAATTATAACAGTTCATCTGAAAATTTTGAAGTCCTTCCGGCGAAGGGTAAATTTCCAGTGTCAAATCAAGCAAAAGAATTAAATTACACATTTTTTGCTGAATTTAAAATTCAAATAAAGCAGAAATAATAAATTAAATACAAATAAAAATAAGTCCAATTTTACATCACGCCCAAAGGGAGTGTTTCTTTAACGTTTTGTTTGTTACCTCTATTTATTAAATGTCATGTTCTTCGTATTTAAACCATAAAATTCAGTCCAACAGCAATATCGCAAAATAATTTTAAAATGAGCATATCTTTAGACTTTCCGATACACAGACTCGCGCTCTGGAGATAATTTTTTTTTTTTTTTTTTTTCTGTACAACGTTGCCATGGTTCGCTTTGAAATCCTTCAGTTTGTTAATCAAAATTTCCTTAAAGTTTTACAAAATATGAAATCAATAATAAAACAAATTCCAAATTTCAAATTTGGGCTTCCAGATGCCCATATTCACAGCAGGATTAAGTTATTCAAAATTGGATGGCTCTAGGTACCGTTGTTTTATCACAATGCGAAAAACATACATAGATTTATGCAGGTTCTTCATTATTTAATTTGTTCAGGGCGATAATATTTGGTGGCAACAATTTGAAAAGTGAAACAACGCTTGTAGTGAACCAACGCAAAATGCCAAAACGAAATTAATAGTCCTTCTGGGCAAATTGCTCCTTTAGGCTAAACAAAACCTGGTTTTGGTATATTTTTTTAGGTTTTTCATAATTTTTAGGTTTTAGTTTTACATTTCTTTAATTCTTATTTTGCATATTTTTAGGCTATTTTGAAATTTATTTCTAGTGAATTTCACTTCTTTTGGGTCTTTGTGTAAAATTCGCTCTAAATTTCTTAGTTTTTGACTACACTGCTCAATATTCAGCAGTAAATTGCGTAAAAATGCGTGGAATAAGTGTTTTTAAATTTAAAAAAAATTGTGTTACTGTATATATATATATATGGTATATATATATATACAGTAACACAATTTTATATGGTATATATATATAGATATATGTATATATCTATATATATATACCCAATTTGTACCGGCTTGGTGAGCTCGGGTTTTTTTTTTATAAATTGGTAAATTGTGCATTTTCTGCTGTAAAAGTGATTGAATTATGTTGTGCTTATGTTCTCGTTAATCTGGTTAAGATTTTTATGCCTTTAGTTTATATGTATGCAATAGTTGTAGAAATATCAACAATTTAAAAATTAAATTTTGTTAAGCTTAACGAGGCTACTATTTGTTTTGCATTTGAAACTCTTAGCAGAATAGAGATCAAGTCAGTTTGTTGCAGCAGCTTCACTGTCTTTTTGCCGACTGGGACCAAATGTAAACTTTCAGTTTTGTGCACCAAAAAATTTGTCCTCCTGCCCGATGGCCGAATTGCTTGTTTTTACATAGAAACTCTACTTTTAGTTATAAAATATTTTAACTGTATTTGGTGCTTTATGTTTTTCTGTATTGTACAATTTTTAATGAAGATGCTTTGTGTTTTTATGTATTTTTGCCTTGCCGCTAAGCGAGAACTGAATTAATTGAGTGAGAAATATATTTCTAATCAAATTTGGAGAAATATATTTAAATGCAGAAAATGTGTATAGTTTAAAAAGCTGTTCAGGGAAGCCAATGTGGTCTCTGCGTCAGATATTCATCTGATAGATTTAAATAAAACATCTCAACATATCTAAAATCATTAAGCACTTTGATATATTTTTGCTTTTTAATTTGATACTTTTAAATAAAAGTGCACTTAAGTCATGATGTATCTCATGAAAAGCATTAAATATATTTTTTTAATTTGTAATCTTATTTAATTAAAAATGCATTGAATTCATGACATATCTCATTAAAATCATTAAATATATTAACATTTTTTATATTTTAATCTGATTTGTTTAAATAAAAATTCATTTACTTCATATTGTATCTAATTAAAAATATTAAATATTTTCAGAAATTCATTATATATTTTTTTCACTTTTTTAAATATACAGAGGATATATAACGCTCCCATGTTAATCTAAACACATATCCATCCACTGATAAACTATAAGTTAATGCACATGAGTTAGAAACTTCTGTTTTTTCATAACAATGTA